CCTATATTTCTTTATATTTCTGGTGATGTACCAGACCTATATTTCTTGATACTTCGGGTGATGTACCAGACCTATATTTCTTTATATTTCTGGTGATGTACATGACCTATATTTCTTTACATTTCTGGTGATGTACTACACCTATATTTCTTGATATTTCTGGTGATAAACCAGACCTGTATTTCTTGATTTTACTGGTTAGAATGCCGGGCTAGTGGCAGCAGGGATTCTACCATAGAGAGAGGGGAGAAAACTAAGAAGAAGGAAACTAATAACTCCAGGTATTCAAGGATTTTTCCAGATGTGCTTAAATTTATTTGGATTTATTCAGATTTTGTCTAGATGTGTTTTAATTTATCTGGATTAATTCAGATATGTCCAAATTTGTCCAAATTTGTCCATATTTGTCCAAATTTGTCCAAATTTGTCTATATCTGTCCAAATTTGTCCAAATTTGTCCAAATTTTTTCAGATTTGTCCCATTTTTTTTCCAGAATCCAGTGTTGTCTAGAATTATGATATTATATAGTGTCGATAGTCTGTTCAGGCGCTCAATATTTTGTTGCCTGCAATCCATAATGTTAGTTTAAAATCACGGATTATTTATGCCGATCATCAATGTTTAAAATAAAATCATTCAATAAACTCTTTTTTATTTTAGAGCGTTGAGTGAACTGAAACAGAGGATGAAAAAGAGTGAATCTGAAAAGCAAGTTTCATTTATTATTTGCCTTTATATAAAAAAGAACCAAAAATCAACATCTTTTAAAAAGTTCTTAGGATCCGGATCCGCTAAAACATTCTGGTCGGCAAAACATTAACCAAAAAATGTAAAAAAAAACTATTTGCTCTCAACCCCCAAATCTGAAATGTTGAAAAAAAAGAATCTTTTACAAATATCTTTATCGCTGAAAAGTTTATCAAGTTTTAGCATCAAAATAAGCATAAAATTCTTTCTTTCGTTATTAAAATAATTAAATCTTAAAGAAATGTTCATGACCTGGATCAGGATCCATTTTTTTCAGTGCGGATCCAGGATCCGGATAAAAAGGATCCTATGCACTGCTTTTAAATACTAAAACCAATTTATATCACCTTGTTGAGTGATTTAAAAAATAAATTGAATTAGTTTTCACAAAGTGATATTAATTTGAGATACAAGCTCATGAGTTAAACAATAATTAGTCTTAATCAAGAAAAATAAAGGAAATAAAACATTGCTTTAATGAGTTAGTTTACTAATAACTCGAAAATGAGCGAACATTTTTCTGATAAAAACTATATATTCATTAATCTTTTGTGTAAAATTATGATAACTAAATATTAATGTTTTGTGTAAAATTCTAGGGTGAAACTGGAAAGCAAGCTGAGCGTTAAAAAGGAACAGTTAAAGCAGAATCAGCAAAAGATAATGACACAAGAAAGAACATTAGAAAAGTAAGCATGAAAAATCTATTTTTATTGATAGGGAATAACTTTTTTTAGTATTTACAATTTATGAATAACTTGTCTATGAGTCATTAGTATGAGGGTCTATGGTTATTGGTTATCGATAACACAGAGCTTGAAACTTTATAACAGACTTAACTAGTTTTTATCAGATCAACTAGTTTTAAACTGTTACCTGTTAAAATATAAGATTTAAAACTAGCGCTCATTGAAAATATTCTTAGATAATTAAAAAATAGTTCAAGGTTTATAATATGTGAGTATGAAAAACAGGAACCAATACAAGGGTTTTGTTATTATGAAAACCCTTTTCTAATTTAAAGATCATCAAGTTTTTGTTTTTATAAAAGCCAGTTATCTATATAATAAATATATATATGTCAGCTATTGCTGGTCAAACGGCTGGACCGAACAAGCTGAATTTTTTTTAGGAAACCCATAGATTCGCTTTGGGTAACATAGGCTAAATTTTTTTTTCAAAAATAGTTTTTTTAAAATTTGATGAGATAAATCTTTGACAAAGTTATAAAAAAAAAGTTTAAAGAAAGTCTGGTTTGTGTTTTTATTAAAACCGGTTCCAATATTAAGATAAATCTTGGACGAAGTTGAACTAGTTAAAACTGTCCTAACTAGTTCAACCTTTTATTCAAGTTCTATCCATTAATTCCGACCCCATGTTCTTTGTAGAATAAAGAAGGAGAAGCTCCGCTTGAAGAAAGGGAATGAGAAGCTGGAGAAGGAGAAGCAGGAGCTGGAGGCCAACATGAAGAAGTGGAAGAAGAAAATGGAAAACTACAGGTAATCAGCGCTGCAGTGCAGGAGTATACAACTTTTTTTAGCAATTTATTATTTTTATGAAATTTTTATTAATTGGGTATAATTACGTATAGGAAGTACAGACTTATTATTATATCATATCTGTTCGGTTCCATAGTAGTAATCCTATCGTGTAAGAATTCCCATTATTACACGGTTCAGGAGGAACAATTTTAATATTGTTCGCTTCCTTGCGTTTAAGAATGCTTATTCTTACACTGTATGTGTAGAATTTTCATTCTTTAACGCTGAGACTGTATAAGAATNATATAATTTCTTGGGTATGTGCCCATGGAACCTCACAAATATGATATAATAATAATCTTATGAGGATAAAAATGTAATAATGGTATTCTTAAACTCGATGAAATAATCTTGATGCATTCTTTAACGAAGGCCGCAGGCCTGAGTTAAAGAATACATCAAGATTATTTCATCTCGTTTAAGAATTTCCATTATTACATTTTTTTCCTCATAAGATTATCATATTATTTTCTCTCGTTATTCTATTCTCTCCTTCTTAATTTATTTTCTCTCCTTCTGTTGAGCAGTAGCATACATAATATATCCTTAAATCCAGTGCTTAGGATCCATTTAATTTTGATGCGGATCCGGATCCTGGATCCGCACTAGAAAAAATGGATCCGGATCCAGGTCATTTCTTTAAGATTTACTGAAATTTTTTAACAACATTTTTTTCAAATTTTTTTATATTTTTTTGGCTTATTTTTATCCTAAAACTTGATGAACCATTCAGAATTAAGAATATTTTTATAATCTCGCTTTTTTCAAAAGTTCATATTTTTGCGGATCCGGATCCAGGAAGCCAAAATCTTGCGGATCCAATGGATCCTGATCCGGATCTTAAGTACTGCTTAAATCCATTCTTAAATCCTGAAATATAACCTTTTTCACAACATTTTGAGTGCATTTATCTCCTTCATGAAGACAAAATTATTTTATTAGAACTTTTTTGTTTTGTTTTTGTAATTATGCCAAACATTTCATTACGTTTCTTAAATAAAAAGAGATATCAAAAGTATATTTTACATGGACCATAAACGGTGAAATTGAAAACTAAATTTTTTATTTTAGAACCAAGTATACTGAAGCAGAACTCGAAAAAACACAGGAATCAGTCATTTTTCTCTAAAAGTTTATCCTTCCTTTGTATTTTTATTGAAATCGAATCAAACAAAATAATATATAAATCTGAAAAGGAACCCAACGTGGAACTTCCAGGCTGCCTTAAGGTACTGATCGGAATTGTTTTGAGACACGTTTTTAGGCTTTTAAAAGCTTTGCAATAATCTGAGATACAAATTCTATTGTAAAATTGCCAGACAAGTTTACTTTTATTACACAAAGCAAAATGTTTACTCTATTCAGAAATATTTACCAAAACGATTTTTTAAATGGAAAACGGAAAACTATTTTACTTTTTGAAAAATCGTTCGTTTGGTTAATATCTTTATTCAGAATAGAAAAATAAGAGCATGCAATTTGTAATAGGATTTGCTTCTCAGATTCATGTGAAGCGTTTAAAAGGCCTTAAACCTTTAAATGTTTAAAAATGGCCCCAAAACGATGCCCTTCGGTACCATGGCGCTATTCACTACAGCGCAGATGGCGGATAGCGGTCTTGAGTCCAAGCCGGACAGGGGCACTATAAGATAAATTAAAATTAAATTTTCAAAAAGTATAATTGTTTATATAGCATCGCTCTAAATGCTGTTCACATTTTTTTTGTTATAATAAATCCACTCACATCCACTTATAAACCTGGATGATAAAACTTTATGACCCTATTTTTGATATATTTAGAGAACTAGCTGAGACTCATTTACAATGTGTTGTCTGTTCGGAACTGTTCGTAGATGCTGTCAGGTTAGAAAAAGTTCAGGGGAATTTTTTGATGATTTGAGGGAAAAAAATGAAAAATATCAAAAGGCATGTTAAAAAAAATTGGATACTTTTTACCTTAAACTTAATTTGTTCCCCCTTATTTATTATTTCCCCCAATTGAGCGAATAAAACCCTTACAAAATACCTAACTTCTGGGGAAAAGAATTTCAAAAGAGGGTGGAGGGGGGGGGGTAATTTTTCAAGAAAATATACACCCCTGGTGCTGAAGCCCAGTCAAAAATCATCTACCTGAGGTCGAAACTTGTGTACAACATAGCAACACTACTGGACACTATGTTCAGCTGACATCAGGAAACTTTTTGTTTTGTTTTGATTAAGTATTTAATCTTTAATAGCAGCTTACTCGTATTTTAGAGATCTCACAAAGGCAGAAACCATATTTTTGTTGTACTGATGGGTCGAGTTTTAAGTTAAGACGATATCCAGAATGAAAAAGTGTTTCTGTCTTGGACTACAGAAGATTCGGGCTTTTTAAAAGGATCAACTTAAAAGTAACGTCCCGTGGAAGCTTCTAAATTGACGAATTGGGTTGATATATTATTTTGGCTCTGTGAGATAAACCATGCATGCAAAGACAGAATGGATAATTATAGGAAATTGTAATTGTTTTCCCCTGGTTCCAAGGTTTAGAAAACGTTGAAATTAAAGATATTTTTTAGTATTAACTGTGGACATACCTTTTGTGACTACTGTATCAACGAGTGGAGGAAGAAGAAGAATAACTGTCCGGTGTGTAGAACCAATATTAGAGCAGCTAACCCCGTCAAGGTAGGATACATTTACTTACTTAATTGTTTACTTGTGATGGAATTCTAAGGACTCCAGGTAGGAGTATGGTAGGAATATCAGTCCATGTCCTCCAGAGTAGTGTTCTGGTCTGCGTTTAGCTATCCATGCACACTTCTCAAAAACACAAGTATAGGGGTCCAGTTATTTGAACATTTCGTCAAGTTTTGATTTGAAAATGTTAGTTCTGGAGTCCTTGACGTCTGTCGGGAGCCCATTCCATCTGTAGACAACTCTGTTTGTGAAAAAGTTAAGTCTGAGTACACAGGAGTATGTTATGTTGTGTTCGGACAGAGTTCGGTACAAGCTCGGACAATGATTGGACAATGTTCATTAATGTTCGTACAAAGTTTGGAGCATATTCAAAGCGTGTTAATAGCATTTTCATGTTCAAACAATGTACTAGCAATGTTCTGACAAAGTCCGGTTAAAGTTTGGTGCAAGTTTGGAGTATGTTCTGAGTTTATTCGGAGTATGTTCGGACAATGTTCAGAAAATGTTCGGACAATGTTCGGACATTGGTTGAACAAGGTTTAGTCGATGCTCAAACAATGTTTAGATGCAAATTTCTGACAAGTAAAGGTTGGAGTATTATCGGAGAAAATTAAGAGAACATAAATATACAATTTATATATCAAGGTCCTGGATGAATACTCAGATAAAATTTTTGAGCAATTTGTTTTGGAAGGTTAGTTTTTTTATTGATTTTTCCTTTTATCTTGATTTTATTGATCCTGATCATGACCTTGATCTTGACCTTGACCTTGACCATGACCATGAACTTGGCTTAACCAATGATCGATCATGATATTGACCATGACCATGACCTTGACCTTGACTATTACCTCAACCACGGCCTTGACCATGACCTTAACCATGACTTTGGTCTTTGATCATGACTTTGACTTTGACCATGACTTTGACTTTGACTTTGACCTTGACCTTGACCATGATCTTGACCATGACCTTGACAATGACCATGAACTTGAAAATGACCATGACCTGAAAAATGACCATGACCTTGAAAATGACCATGACCTTGACAATGACCATGACCTTGAAAATGACCTTGACTTTGACTATGACCTTGACCATGAGCATGACCTTGACCATGAGCATGACCTTGACCATGAGCATGACCTTGACTTGATCATGACCTTGAACACGATCTTGACCATGATCTAGATTTTTTATATCAAGGAGCTAAGAAAACCCGAGCAACCCTGAAGGAGGAGAGGGCAAAGCTTAAAGCTGAGTCTGTAAGACCAAGGTAGGTCAATAAGTACAATTATTTAGTTGTACTGAATCTTTAACTTGGTTGAACTACTGTGTAGCGTGTGAATTTTGTAACATCAAGTTGGTGTTTCACGCTGATGTCGTTTTTCATGTCGGGTTAATGCCGTTTTCCATTTTGATGAAAACTGAAACGAAAAGTTATTTTTAAATTAACCAAAAATCATTCCTGCATAAGATAGGGAAACCTGGAAAATGTAAAGATAGTGCTTTTTTTGTTGGTAGTATTTTTTGAGTAATCTTTCTGTTTTGTACCCAACACATCGGTTAGTAATAACAGAGAAGAATTATACCTGAAGACTTGCTAATTATCTTTAAAATAACTTAAACAAGCATTCAAAGAATTTTTTTCTTTAAACGTTTACTTAGTTAAATATAATAATGCTCTTTGCTCATTTTTATGTTTTATTTATAGCAGGCCAAACGACTAGACCGAATTCGCTAAAAAATTTTGAGGAAATCCATGGGTTATACTTCAAGGGTGACATTTTTTTAAATTTCACGGACAACGCAGGGCACTTCAGCTGAAATCATAATTTAAGACCAAGCGCGGGTAAACGGTGGTAGTAACTATGAGTAACTTGGGCCAAGCCGGGCACTTCAGCTAGTTTTTAATATTGGATTATTTCAGGCGGATTAATCCGTTTTATAATTATATATTTCAGGCGGATTAATCCGGTTTATAATTATATGTTTCAGGCGGATTAATCCGGTTCATAATTATATATTTCAGGCGGATTACTCCGGTTTATAATTATATATTTCAGGCGATTACTCCGGTTTATAATTATATATTTCAGGCGTATTAATCCGGTTTATAATTATATATTACAGGCGGATTACTCCTGTTTATAATTATATATTTCAGGCGGATTACTCCTGTTTATAATTATATATTTCAGGCGGATTAATCCACTTTATAATTATATATTTCAGGCGTATTAATCCGGTTTATAATTTGGGTGATGACAGTGATGATAGTCTAGATAGTGATAATACATTAGAGATCAGGTCGGACATTGTTTTAGTAATATTTCAAAATTACTTTTCTGTTTTTGTTCAAATTGATATCAAAACTTAATTGTTTTCCAGGTTTGATAGCGGACATGATTTTGATTCTGATTTCTCCGATGAGATTGTCAGGTAGATTTTCTTCAAATATTTTATACAAATTTCACTCTATTCAGCAATAAATAGATGATCTTTTTGCTAATTTAAAATAATCTTTGGGTCAATGGTTTAATAGGGAAAGTCTGTAAGGCCGAGCTCTGCGGTTAAGCATAACTGAGCTTCATCTAGTATTTAGTTCTCCAATTGATAGACAAATGTCATGATCAATATAAATACCATAAAAATTAAGAAGAGTGTTGTGAAGGGAGGATTCTTTTTATACGAAAGCACTGATTGATATCGTTTTGATCTTCAAGAAAAACATTTTTCTATTTATACTGAGAAAAAAATGTGTTTCTTTTGAAAATTTATAATTCAAATTTCTCTAATTCCTAACAAATGTACTTAATTTTATTTTTCTGAAATCTTTAAAAATACATTTTACAGGTTTAACTCGAGGTTTAGTGATGATTCAGATAACATCACAGTTCGGGACAGCGACTCTCCGTAAGTTTTTTCTTTGTGAAGGGTGGGGGTGGCTTTTTTAGAATGAAAAGTGAAAAGTGATGGATTGGGAGGGGAAAATATAGTATCGGTTACATAAAAGGGATTAAAAAAAGAATTCTTAAAATAAATTATGATAATTTAATTTTATGACAAAAAAGTTTTTCCAAAATTCATATTCGGCATTCCTTTTAAAAACGTAAACATGACTGGTAACCTTTTGTTTTGGTACAAAATGTGATTATTTTTATTTCAGCCCCTTCCCGTTCCGTAATCTGTGGGATTCTCTAAACGTTGACACGGATTCCTCGGACGAGGATTTCAGCGTGAGACGATGGACGAGGAACAACAGGACGGTTTTCTCCGATACTAGCTCTAGCTCCTCCAGCAGCAGCAGCAGTAGTACATCAGCTCAGGCATCAGAATCTTCAGATTCAGACTAACTTAAAGATTCATCTTTCCTGAGATTCCAAGAGCATCAACATGACCAGACTGTTTTCATTTCATACTTTCATCAACGAAAATATATATTCTAAAGTTAATTTTGCTCTAAAATCAGGTTTTAGAAATTTTCAAAAAATTCAAATTACAAATGATTTGAGCTGATCACATACTAAAAGTTTCGATTTCTTTGTCTATTTTTTAGAGAATCCCAAATCGATTAATTTAAAAATGCGCCAAAATGTCCGTGAATCCACTTGATATAAATTCAAATGTTAATAATTTTCATTTTGAATAAACCCTGCCCTCTAGTTGAATTGAATCAAGTCAGTAAATTGGTTTTGTTTAGTTTATGTTTTGTATTATTTTGTTATGTTTTGCATAATTAAAATTTTTTTTCGCGGTCAAGTACAAATATATAGTACAGAAAAATTAAGAAAAATCTTACTCATAACAATACTACACATTTTTTGACCCAATAATAATGATAATTGAGAATTGTGAACGGAATAATATTTAGAAAATATCACAAAATTCGTAAATTTTAAAATTCAGTCTAACAAAATTTGAAATTGTCAGTTAATATGAAGATAGAAAATATAAACTTGATTTTACAGATAAAAAATGGCTTTGTCTGGAAGATTGTTTGAAAGATTGTGTACTCCTACAAATATTAAAATTGTCGGAAAAAGACATGTGCACAAAAATAATCAGGTATAAAATCCGGACCCAGTTGACGCTTTTTTTCTTTTTTTTCTGTCTCTTGTAATCTTGTGAAATGTGAAACATAATCTAGAAGTTCCTGGACACATTTTTTTTGGAGAGGCCCCAGCATTTAAAAAGTAGTTAACATGCCTGATTAATAACGGTATCCTGAAAACCTTTATCCTGGCAATACTGAGGAAGATAGTATCGGTTTTCTATCTGGAAAATTGTTGATACTGCAAAATTTCTTCGTTGTTCCTGTCTATAAATCTCTCTAATTACTTCCATAAAGAGATTAAAAATGAAAAAATTAGGGTTTTAGACAAAAAAAAAACAAAGATATCTTGATCATTTCTGATCAGACGAAGGTTTAAACGATACGTTGTGAATCTGATATTCCCTTTAAAAAAAAGTTTCGCTTGAAATATGTGCCTTTAAATAAATAATTTTTCTAGACTGTTTGTGAGGAAATGATTGGACCCGCTCATCCTATTTCTAACCTACGAGCGCTGCAGCTAGGACGGAAACATAATGAAACTAAATACGAGGTAGTAAATATCATATTTCTAACCTACGATAATGATACTAAATATGTAAATTGCGAAGAAACTAAAATATTTTTTTTTACCACAGAAAACCGTTCCTATTAAAAGTTTTGAAAAATTAAATACAACATGTTAGTATTTTTCGTCTATTAATAACTATGTTTGACTCAAACTGAATCAAATCAAAAATTCTCCATAGGTTGAAATTAAGTAATACAAAACTAATATAAGAATGTTAGGTATTAATCCGGTTTATA